GGTTAGGTAGGTAGGTAGGTAGGTAGGTAGGTAGGTAGATAGGTAGGTAGGTAGATAGATAGGGTAAGTGCTGGATATACGCACGCAGGAGATGTATATAGAGGCGAGAGAGACGGAAAGAATGGGAATTGATGTGAGAGATACGGGAGTTTTTGCCTCTCGGCTCTCAGCTCGGCGCGGAGAGGCCGAAAAACTTGCCCTGCCTGCATCAATACGCTCGATTATCTCTGTTCCTTTAGCAACCGAGATGTCACCGAGGTGATGAGCGATTGTCCGCTGAGCGACCGGCTGACCTGACTGATTGACCTACTACTACTAGCGGTGTGACTGATACGCCAAGTTTCTCCTTCTTTAACGTTGTTTGAGTAATCGCGAGCTCGTAACGTCTTTTGTTTTTCTAGGAAAAAATATTTTTGCTGAAATATTGAAATTTGAGATACAGAAACAGATCTGAAAGTAATTTTATCGAACTTCCAAAATATTTATGTATAATACAAATATAATACAAATTGATTGCTAATATTATTATGTAGAATGTAGTACAAAATTGATTACTAAAACATTAAAAATTTTTTCAATATTATCGTTATACTCAAGCGGTTTATATAATAATTTTGATGGCTTAACAAAATTATTTTCATCTATATTTCATCTATATTTTGGCCAAATCTATATTTTTACACTTCAGCAAAACCGTTTTCTTCGTATATGTAATTTTAGCTATTTTGAGCGTCTCGATTTTATTATTGCACCAGTAATTTTCATTACTGCCGGGGTAATTTTGAAATTTGTATTTAAAGGAGAAGGGGCGTTAATACAAAGATATATGAGTGTCGACGTAATTGAGAACAGTGTCTTTTTTTATTTTGCAGGATTTTAAGATAAAATAAGATTTTATAGCGTAAAACCTATATTTGGCTATATGGGCTTTCGTGTGATCGAAGCTCTCTCGCGAACGAGAGATAAATGGAATACGCGGCACGGGGATAAAACGAGTCTGGGGCTCGCGGGTTCGCGAAATCGCATCTAAAACGAATCTCGCAAATTGCTCTCGTCTCACCTCGTCCCCGCGTTGAACTCCTCAGATTTTGCCGTGTACAGATTCTGACGTCACGCGCGGCTTCAGCAGAAATACGAGTCACGGTCGCGTCCAATTCGGCATTGTGGCAAGTTTGTCGCGAGTCAATGAATCAATCGATAGACCGATCTAATTTAGTCGTGATCATGCTATTGTGTCGCGGTGTCTATTGTACATACATCCAGCCCGATCGGATCTTTCTCATCAATCTGCTCTCACTGACGATTGTCGGCGTATCGCCCGGCAAATTTATATCGCTATGAGAGATCTGGTACTCCAATCGCCCGTAACGCTCGTTTCGATTATAATACGATTGAGTGTAATTTCAGATAGGAGAAACTACGGTTTTACGGTTGATAACGATTTATGAATAAAATTCCATATGGAAGTTGTTGAACGAAAGATATAATGATTAAATATTTTTCAATGCTTTTTGATATTTTTCTTTTTCACAGTGCATATAATACGTTGTGCATATTTAACGACGTTTCATAATAGAGAACCACAAATTGGCAGGTGGTTCTTTTGAATTTACATGAATTACATTTCTCTCTCTCTCTCTCTCTCTCTCTCTCTCTCTCTCTCTCTCTCTCTTTTCTCTCAGCAAAACGACCATATTTTTTCTCTCGTAACGACAAATGCACTCGATAACATAAGATAAAATATCAAGATTTGATCAATTTGACTATGGTTATTAAATTCCTCTTTTTTTTTACGCAGATTTCAAAATCCAAAAAAACTTCGTTAAAATGTCGCGAGGCAGCAAAGTAGTAAAGGGGCAAATTCTCTTTGGCTAGAAATTGCGAAATAAATTTTTCGAAATTAAAAGTGGAAAAACGAATATCCGCAGTGGAATCACTTATCACATTAATCTATTCGCTTCGTACACGTTGAATATCCAATTAGCCATACGTTGATAGGAGGTATGAGATCGTCATAATCCGCTATTGATCTAACCGCGAAGCTAATTGTCGCGAAATTAATCATCGCGCAGAATTAATTAATGATTTTCTGGCGTTTCGAAGTTCGAATCGCAGCCACGTGTCTGGCCTGAATTTCGCGACCCCGCCACGTAAACTTTTAATATCGCTGTCCTGCAACACCCTAATCCCTCGGTAAACTCCTCTCTCGATCTACGTGACCTTTACCTCTGTCCTGAACTTCGAAACACGCTTCCGAAGTTTGGACGTTTTACCTTCGAAATGTTATATCTTATAAGCCATAACGAATACGACCCAATTTGCATAATCAGACGTGAGCTTCCCGATAATCCGGAAGGTTCTGAGAGAATTTTCGCAAAAGTCTAACGATAACCAAGATTCGCGGTGGACGATTCGCAAGTTCAGTTATCGATGAGAGAAAAGAGAAAGGATATATCGCGTTTATATGTTGCGTGAAATCGTGAAACTGTGCCGAGATCGCGTGGGTCGAGATGGTATGAAGTGGTATGTTTTAGATGCGTCTGCGATTTTCTTGCGATGTAGAGAAAAGAGACGCTTGGATGAATATCATCAATATCGAGTTGTCAGTAAATATGCGATTTTTTTTTCTTTTATAGACTCAAGAGATTTTCAAAATAGAAGGAAATTTCTCATCTCAGTGGAGATTCACTTAATATCGACAATATATTAAATATAACAAACATACATATTACAGTTTCGCGGAAATTTCATATTTGCATGTGATAGATAAAAATGATTTTATATACGTTGAAAAATGTATGAAATACATTTAAATATAAAATTGTCTTGACTCGAAACTCCAATTAATCAAAAACTAATTTAACTGATAAAATCGTTTGAAGCATAGTTTTTACAATTTATACAATTTATTGTTCCTAATTCAATCTTTTTTCTATATGTGAATTAACAAAAATCGGTTTGTTGATTATGAACATATTAAAAAAATTAAATTTCATCTATGTTTTCAACTATTTTTCAGATAAGTTAATCAGTGAGACTGATATGTATAAACAAATAACCGATATTGAATCGCCATATCAAAAATTCAGTATTCGACTTTGAAGAGCTGTCATTTTATAATGATTATAGTAAGTTTTTTAAATTATTTAAAGTTTTTAAATTATTTAAACACGAGTAAATAATTAGGCATTTAATAAATTAATAACAAAATATTTGCTATTAATATTTATAATTTCATACATATAATTACATATTTTAACTAAAAACTGATATTTATTTGTTATTGTTGTATAAAATCTAATTTATACACAGAATTAACAAGGTATTGATAAATGGATTTATTTGTAAAATATTTGCTTTATTCTTCGTAATAAATGACGAAAACAATACTTCAGTTTTTTTTATTTTTATACAAAACAAATAAAAAAACTGATATAACAAAATATGCTATTAAATGTCAAACTATTGTATTTTCCTTTTCAAATTGACATTCAATTCAGGATATTTTAAATAATAAATCTAAGATTTTTTTTTTTATAACTGAACTATAGTGTACACTTTGTATTTAAAATGGAATAGATATCTATGTTCGAAATCTGGTGGAAGCGACAAGGAAAGTTTTAATGCGATATAATAGATCTTTAATCAGTAATGTAATTCATATCGGTGCATTGATAAAATTAATTGGAATTTGCTTGAAGACATTTGTTTTCCGTTCAAAGAATCGATCGGTGTTGTTTTTCGCGCGCCATTCAAGACGCACATGCGAATTTGCGTAGCCTTCAAAGTGCATACGCATCAAAAAAATCCGCCAATCAAATCGCCGTATACAAAAGGCGCTACATCATTATGTTCCTCGCATTGGACGTTTAATTGGTCGATCCGGCAGCTGTATCGCACCGCAGTGTCAAATCTACGATCTTTTAACCTTCTTTTTTCCATGTGTATCGCGCGCTATTTTCCTAATCCGATCCTTAACCTATCCACACGTTCGCCAGTCACCGTACACCGACACTCTTTTTCTTGCTCTCGTTGGTTGTGCTCCATCTGATATTCGTTTGCGGAAACGAGAGAACGTTCCTTCCGAAAAAGCGCCTGCACATGAACGTCATCTTCGTGCACTACGTTCGTCGGTCGGCCACATAATCCTTCTGCGCTCAGCGGCACGACCGTGCCTAACATCCTTGGTACCATTTCTTGTTCCAGAAATCGAATTATAGACTCCGATGATGAGAATAGTGAATATTTGCGAACTGACACAAGCTCGAGAAATCCAGATACAACCAGGATAGTCGTAAGTTGCAAGCTTGCTTCTCTCTATTTCTGCCAATACAAAATAATCTTATAATTTTGGCTTAACTTAACATTTATTTAATTCTTTGAACTAAAAAGATATAAAAATATAAATTAAATTGGGATTAAAGTTTTGAATTTTTGAAAATTTATTGTGATATTTCAGAACAATGATATCAGTTGTATCACCAAATCTACCTGCGGATTCTCCGCGAATGTGTCGATTATACCTTTAATACAAAAAAGACCTCTCAGCCTTGAAGGTTTCAGCTCTAGCCAAAGGTGTAAGATAGGAAATAGTCTTTTACCAAACGTGCCAAGCTTTGTACAACAGTTCTCTTCGAAAGTATTTTGTGGGTCATTTTCCAAGGATGGAAACTTTTTTATCACTGCCACTCAAGGTAATTTTAGCATTGTATTATGTGTTTGTTTTTATACCGCAATTGTGGTTTCCTTATTAGACTTGATCAGCTGATCAATTATATGTTTGTTTTTACAGATAAATGGTTGTACATATATCGAACGCACGAAAAAGGATTTAACTTATACAGTCAAATGCTAGCACGTGACGTTGGCTGGAGTGTTCTGGATGTAGCATTCAGTCCGGATGGTAACTACTTTGCATATTCAAGTTGGGCTGATTGCTGTAAGTAACATTACGATTAAACATGATTATATAATGAGAGAGAATTCACGCATCTTCTAACATTTTTTACAGTATATCAATGCCACATATCTGGAGAATCGCTGGAGACACTGCCATTATCTCCAGGCGTACGACGATTCTGTATTTTCTCACTTGTTTTCTCAAACGATGGCAGGGAGATCTTTGGTGGTGCCAATGATAAATGTATTTATATATATGATCGTGAGTGCCAACAGCGAGTTTTGAGGGTTTGTAGGATTATTGAGACTTTAGCGGAGAAAGTGCGCTTGTCATTCTTTATACTTTTACATGTTTCTTGATTATTGTAGTTTGAGAGTCATGATGAAGATGTGAACGGTATAGCTTTCGCAGACGATAGTTCGCAAGTCTTCTACAGCGTCAGCGACGATGGATTATGTAAGGTATAATTGAATCATCTGAGAGACCGCTTTCTTCAACAGTATAAGTCGAGTGTCGCGAGAGAAATCGATGTGCTCGACTATGAACCGATACGTGATTATTCGAAAAATTCTTACTCTATACGTCTTCAATGTCTTCCTGTCGGTTTAGGTATGGGATAGAAGAACGATAAACGAATCTAATCCGCGTGCGGTTGGAGTGATGGCCGGTCATAGGGACGGGATCACGTACGTTGATTCACGCGGCGACAAACGGTATTTTATAACCAATTCGAAAGACCAATCCATCAAGTTATGGGACATACGCATGTCCTGCAGTAATAGTGCCCAGCAAAACATTCGCCGTTTTAGTCACGACTGGGACTATCGGTGGCAGCCAGTGCCTCAACGATGTAAATATTTATTTAAACCAAAAAGAAAAAAAAATATTGTTAGACAAGCTAATTATCCTTATTTCTAAATTATTCAGATACATATCTGAAATGTCTAAGGTGACAATTGTTCTCAATCATTGTATATAATTGTCGAGTACATATAACATTTTCCTGTTTCAGTATGGGTACCGGGCATGTTAGAGGATGATACCAGTGTTATGACATATTATGGTCATTCAGTCCGTAAGACTTTAATACGTTGTTGTTTCTCGCCGCCAAATACCACTGGTCAGAGATTCATCTGCTCAGGAGATTCATTAGGTCGAGTCGTCAGTAAGTTCCGAGTTCTGCTATTGGTCATGTTTCAATACACGAGGCTATCGCGTAATTCTTTGTCTTTTACAGTATACGATCTTCTGACGGGACAAGTAGTCCGCAAAATGAAAGGTCATGCGGGATGCGTGCGCGATATTAGCTGGCATCCTTACAATCATTACATTGTTACCTCATCTGTAAGTAAAATTAAACTGCAAAAATATTTCTATATATTCGAATGAAAGAGAAATCTCAATTGTTGAAAGCTGTTGTTGTTGTTGTTGTTGTTGTTGTTGTTGTTGTTGTTGTTTGTTTTTAATTCACATCTACAAAGAAAGAAAGAAATACTTATATTATTTTTT